CCACAGGTATGAATGGAAGGGAACATCAAACAAAGTTCAACTGATGGAAGAAATAAGAAGATCATTGTCAAGCTGCCGTTCGTCTATACCAGTGTACCCCCATTATGTTTTACCAAGACGGATCATTATGTGCCGCCTTTGAAATGACCTTTTGCTCAAGATGAACATTGTGTTAACACAATACTTGATTATGAGAACTAGGTAATACTGATGTTTTTCTCTCATGGGCAGCATTCCATGCACTAACAGACCCTCCAACAACTGTGCTTATGCCACTGTTTTTAGAATGCGCACACTCTGTTGCTACGATACAACATTCAATGAATGTGGCAAAGAAAGCTGTTGAGCAGTTACACCCAGGTCATCTACCTGTATGCAAATGCTAAAACAATCCAGTGGAAGTTTCCGGAATCATATGATGATGCCAGTTTCCTTATATCAGGTTTGGTGGATTGGGTATTGAAATAGCTGCGTTCAGGATCCTCGGATTTGACGGACAACTGCAATTTGCGTAGCTGGGTTTGCTGATTCCTTCATCAAGTGTACCCACCTTGCTAGAACAAGGCATGTCCATCAGATCACAGCCACTACACACCAGGCACATGCTCACTGTCAGGAAATAGAACCAAACAAAGAAGACCTTTTTACTTTTAGAAGTTGGTGTGATGCAAAGTCAGCTTCTCAATCCTAGTTTCAGCATTGGTCCTTTGTTCCTGAACTTGAACTTTGCGCATTGTGCCTGGTGGGTGCAATTCGAAAAGCAGATCCCCCAAAGTATGTAGCATCACTTGTCAGAGTAATACCATGGGTCTTTATGTTAGATCATGTCATCTATGCACGTTCGCTTTCAGTTCACATCAGAAATATGTCTTCCTTATCAGTGGAACACTCAGCACTGTACCACACATTTTGTTCTGGTGGATTAGTAGAACATACAACTAAACGACCATTCCCTGCCATGGTACTAGATCAGGCTCATGAAGAAATCAATGCTCTTGTGAAAGGAGATGGAGGGGCAGTTGGACTGACAGGAAACCCATCAGGATGGGTGGTTGCAGGACCAGAAGTGTCAAGAATGATTCAAGAATTCAATTCAATATGAGAGTTTTGTAAAAGAAAGGTTCATTGACAGATCAAAACCAATAAAGGAACCAGTAAGAAAGAGCAAACTGCCACTGCTTTTAAGACTGAAGACTCTTCGTCTTCCTATCTCATTGTACATCGCTTGATGGTGACTGTGCTCTGGTTACCAGGTTGTACATATCATGTCTACCAAGAGAAGGGGACTTTCTTCGAGCATGAAAATCAACCATGGCCTCCTTTATTATTCCAAGATGGGAGGAATTAGATCTCGTACAGATCTTCTTGAACAACTTGAACATATACAGGCGGAGCCACCAGATGCTACTCCAGACGTTTCTGCAGTGATACTTGATGGCCCCATGATTGTGCAGATGCTTCATCCCAGAACATCCATAATGTTTCAAGTCGATATCCAGAATGTATTTCTGCCATACATGTTCCAGTATCTTGAACACCAGGACAGACTGGATATTCTTTGGGACACCTAAACGTACAGCCTTAAAGCATTCACCATAGAAAAAGGTGGCAAGGGTCTAAGAAGAATAGTCAAAGCATCATCACTTGTGCGAAGTAACTGAGAAAGCTTCTTCTCAGTTAATGAGAACAAAGATGAGCTTTTTGCACTGCATGCTGAACAGGTTTCTTCAACATAATTTGAAGGAAAACAAATTTACAGCACCCTTGAGACAAGAGTTGTAACCTCTCCTGAAACAGCTGACAGAAGAGTTCATGAAGAAGCCCACACTCGTCTTGTATTGCAATATCTGCTGCTTCACGTGGTACGATAAAAAGTTGCTGATTAGTACTGCTTACACAGACGTTGTTGTCATAACGATAACAAACATTCAACAGATACCTTCAGAGTATGGATATCATTTGGCCTAGGCAAGCACAAAAGATATATAGCTGCACATTAAATTGGAACTACCCTCTTTCCATCAAAATAAAAGGCATTGTCAGTATTGCATGCCTTCACCAATTGCGAGTATTTTTTTGCCGGGATCGTGAAGAAAACTGCTTGGGATACTTGGAATGTATATCCTGAAGTCACCAAGCATTCCTGTCACTGGCATATGCCCCAGCAGTTACCTGTATTGTAATTTATCTGACAACGCAATGCAAGTCCTTGAGCTGTTTGTCATTCTTTTATATGACAAAACTATGACAAAAGCCAGACAGACACAGACAACCCTAAAACAACACACATTACAGGAAGGTCAGGTGCATCTCTGCCACGTCCTGCAGACTGGGGTTGGAAGTTGGCATGTGATAAAACATGGATGCCATAGTGGACAACGCTAGGTCAGGCACAAGAACAGTGTTATGAACTGACATACTGCACCTGTACGAAGTCTTGCACAGGCCTTTGTAAATGTTACAAAGCTGGTCCAAAGTGCACTGCTTTGTGCAGTTGTGAAGGAAAGTGTTTCCAGTGAGTGAGTTTAGTCATCAATATTCCAGCTATATGGCGGCGGTTTGTAAATAATCAAGTCTGGACCAGACAATCCAGTGATCAACAGCGTGAGCATCGGTCATGTATTATATGATGAAATTTACGCAATCACAGAGAAATAGTTTCTTTTCTTACAATCTGGAAAGTACGTTTTAAATAACCACCTTACTTTGTTTAAGATATGGCCAGGAATATCAGTACAATACATCTTTCTACAGTTTCAATATTCATGATCAGTCACTGGAAACAGACCCATGAAGGTCCAAGTTAGAATATTGATCTTCAGTAATCCATGCTTGTCGTAAGAGGCGACTAACGGGATCGGCTGGTCAGGCTCGCTGACATGGTTGACACATGTCATCGGTTCCCAATTGCGCAGATGGATGCTCATGCTGTTGATCACTGGATTGTCTGGTCCAGACTCGATTATTTACAGACCGCCAACATTAGGCTGGAATATTGCGTGTGGCGTAGAACTAAACTCACTCACTCACTCACTAATAATACAACAGAATCGTTTATTTGCAAATAAGTACTGAAAGGTGTCTGCATTAAATTGTTCTCTGAAACTTTGCATTTGTAAAATACTAACCGGAATACTTCTTACATTATAAAGCATAATACAAACAGATCATACACAAGAGTGCACAAATATTTACATTCATTTGTTGCTATTTAAAATGTCTTTTTCACAATGTTAAATATATCTAAATATCATCAACTTATCCAAAACCAAAATGTAATAACTTACAAATAACAGCAGTATAACAAGGCAATTTCTGAATATTTTGGCGGCAATCTTGGATTTTCATCACCACCAGGTGGCGCTGTGTAATAAATTGGGAATATGTACCTCACTGTTCCAATTAATCCTCTATGAAATACGAAATTTGACAAGATAATTATGATATATTGAACATCGATTGCATTTTAGTCGAAATGGCGGCCATCTTTGATTTTCTGCCACCAGGGGGCACTGCTGAGGTGGATCCATATCCAGAAATGTTCGGAATAGTTCAATATATAAGTGTGCCAAGTTTGGTGCTTTTAACCCAAAGTGCAAAATTTTTGCCTTAACTGCCCCACTATATATAAGGTACACAGTCAAACCGTCTAATTGTTGATGTTATTCAGGAAGGGCGGCAGAGTAGCCTAGTGGTTGAAGCGTTTGATTCCCCACATGGGTACAATGTGTGAAGCCCATTTATCGTGTCCCCTGCTGTGAATTTGCTGGAATATTGCTAAAAGCAAGGTAAAACCAAACTCAGTCAGTCAGTCAGTCTATTCAGGACATTATTTAATTGGTAAATCAGTCCATTTATGTTCTGTCGAAAGAGCGTTAAATTCTGACATAGCAACTGAGACCTTTTATACAATTAATGGAATTAGGCGAGATACATACTAATCAAGATACCAATATCGTCTTTTTCTGATGGTGCAAAATACATGAAACAAACCATGACCTCAACTAAAATGTTCTACATTTTTCAGTAATTACATTACATTTAAAAATATGGCTAGTACTCTAGAAGTAAATAATGGTGCAAATTTAGTCAAAATACATCTACACAAACAGGAGAATATGGGAATCTATGAACCAATTCACATATTTTATAGGGCCATCCAAACCGCTATTACTCATCTGCTTTCTCATGTAAAACGATGTCATCTTTTCTTATAAATTGTGATACTACTAAAACGTATCTGGTTACAGTGGGGATCTTTGTATTGTATTGAACAAAACATCACTAAAAGATAATGTCTGTATCCACATCAAATTCTCTCCAAGTGATCTAAGTTACAATGACCTAGTGTTAAACATAGCGGAGTTATACCCACCTTTCATTAAATGTGTATGACCTCTCTGACGTCGTATGACGTCATAGAAGAAAATCCATTTTCGACAGTTATTGCGAGTCATTTTTAAGATTGAGTGTATAATGCTATACATAAGCACACAAAACACATTTTCAGATATCGGGCAGTATTTTGATCACTCACACTTTCTGTAAAGAAGCCAGTTAAGAAAATCGTCACACAGAGCTTTTATTGGTGCATGATAAAAAGCGGAGAAATTTACTGTTTTATAATGCATAACAAAATTCCGGACAACATTTTGTAGTGTTTATTTTTCAAACCACCTAAGTATTTGCACTTGAATTTAGGAAATGTAATATTCTACATTTCTTTGAATTGTTATACCTGTAGGTAGATACAGGGCCACATGAGCACAATTCCCGTGCGCAACGTTTGCTTTTCAGATCTTATTTAAATGTGCATCATAAAAAAACTCAGCATCCAGGGGTTAAAGTTGTACTTCTTTTAATCTGTGTTTTCATGAACCTGAAGTGATGTCATTAAAACAGAAGTGTATGTAACTTAGGTTTTTAATTCAGCAAGAGGCTCAGGATTTCTGTTTCTAAACCACATTATTTTCTAAAATTTTACTTTTTTTTGATTGCAGAACTGTGGCAAGATTCCACTGACTGACTGCACATTGGTTGAAGACCCAAGTTCAGATGTTTTCTTCTTTGATGAGGAAAGTGAGTAAAACTTATTCTCTATCATTGTTTATCTCTGCACTTTACAAATTAAAATTCATATTTCAAGGTTTCAATGGCCACCTCCATTGATAGAGTATCTGCCCACTGAGTGAAAGGTACTTTTAATTACCCTGCTTGGTGTTCAATATTGCGGTGGTAAACCAAGGACTATTTGACTTGGGCCAAAGTTGGGTATTGATGATACTGGTTGGTTGGTTATGTATTTTTATGCCACATTCAGCAATATTCCAGCTATATGGCAGCATTCTGTAAATAATTGTGTCTGAACCAGACAATCCAGTGATCAACAGCATGAGCATCTATCTACACAAATGAGAACTGATGACCTGTGTCAACCAAGTCAGCGAGCCTGACCACCTGATCCTGTTAGTAGCCTCTTACGACAAGCATGGGTTACTGAAGACCATTTCTAACCTAGATCTTCACGGGTGTATTCATGATAAATGAGGCATCATCTCTAAGTGGGCTAGCACTATAAAACTGGTCATTCATCTGGACTAGAACAAGGAACATCAAACACAATATGCATACATGTTGCTGTTGTAATGGTTCTCAATACACTACTGTCACCCAGTGACACCTGAGTTAAGCTAACGTAGTATGTAGTAACATCATGTTGAATCAACCTATCTTGGACTTTGCGTTGTGTACTTACATTTTATAGGTGTGCATTCTGGTTGACTTGTTCGGTACTCAAAACTCAGTGACCAGTGCATAAAACCAACTGAGAAATAACAAAGACAAACTGAACAATAATAGTTTATTACAATGAAAGAGGTAGGAATCAAAATACAAAAAAAATCTCAACAACTTGTAAATGCCACCCACAATTCTCTCTCCCACATACCTCTTTAACAATCCATCGGGTACATGAATCCCTTAAACATTTAATATAAAACCACCCAAACCAACCCTGTTTTTAGCCAAACATTACCCAAAATCTATAAGCTAAATCCTACTCCGTTTCCTACTGCTAATTTTCACACAACCCAGCCTAACACTAGTATAAGACACCTAACATCCCTTTATAACGCCTAGCATCCCTCTTTATAATGAGGGAAGGATCTTGTAACAGGACCTCGGGGACATCAGTACTACTAGGAGATATCACATGTTGCTCTGATGACCGAAAGCTAGACAACTGAATCCAGAAAGCCAGGTCACTTATATAGCGCTCTAGAATGACCTTTGACATGGGTCAGAGTTCATCTAGTGATGGCGGATGTCTCTGCCAATCTGTGCCTACCCAACATATTTAGCGCCAACCACATGGCCTACCCAATGTATCTAGCGCTACGATGAACAGTAATCCCAGTCAAAAAGTTGTCCCATAGTAGTGCAAGTGAAACAATGTGCTATAAGACTCTCCGGTACACAGTTATTCTGTAAGTAGTAATTACTGCCTAAATATCCCTTTATGAACCCCCTGCCCCCACCTTACACTACAATTTAACACAGTTTTCCTACACTGTGACACAGCCTCACCTCACCTCACCTCACCTCAGGGTTTAATTTCTTAAAGTACTTTAATCACTTTTCACAACAATTATCACGACTTCAGGTTTAGACAAACCTGTAATCAAGATAATTTACCCCCTCAAATGTACATGAATTCTAAAGCGTCCCTAGTATGTAAACCTCACATTATGTCACGGAGACGCGCCCCTCTGATTGGTTGAAATTTCGTTTGCGGGTAAGAATTGTGCACTGTTGTCAAAAAGGTAAATTTATGTTAATTAAATGTCGAAATGAGTAGTCTTAATGACGGGCTTTCATTTATAACAAAGCCAATAAATGATTTATGTATTTCTACCCCCATAGTACATTTGCTCTTTAATAATAAGGCAAAATACAGCCTTCATGCAAAACTTCATGCTCAAGGTTACCAGACTTGTCAAATTTGGTCATCATTATAAATATTGTTTATGAAATGAGCTGATTTTGAATGATTGATAAGTGTTCCATTAGTGAAAGTATGTTTATGTATGTGTGGTAGATAGCTGTAAGGTTTGAAATCGTAGTGCAGGAGTTTCGGCTCATATATTTCATGAAAATGCATTGTTTCTAAGCTGTCAAAATATATTGCATTAAAGTAATGTCCAACAAAAACAACAAACCCATATTGAACATTTTGACTAACCAACACTGGTTTATCCATGAATACTGTACAGAATAAGAACAGAACAAGGACATGTCCTTGATGAAGTTTAACATATGTTATATTTGGGATTACACTTTCTTAGTATAGTACAGATTCTAGTACTTTTGTTGGGTTGAGTCCCATCCCGGATTCCAACCCACACCCTCAGAGTCGGGCACCTAATAGCCAGCACACAAAGTCAGACGCCTTTTCAGACTTGATCAAGTTGTTTTAATATGCCAGTGTTTGGGATAAATTTGATTGGTAACATCAACATTCATGGCACCATAAGAAAGCAATGTTATGGGACATTAAGATAAGAAAATTCCACAGCTATTTTAAGCATGCAAAGGTTGTTGGACAGAATGTGAAATTTGAGGTTGATTTTGTTGATGGCGATGTACTGCTGGATGGTACAGCGATGGGAGTAAACCAGGGGAAGTCAACCCAAGTAGGGGTGGGTAGGTATTGCAGAGAATTTTCATATTGCGATATATTGCGATGCGAAAGCATGTATTGCAATATGTATTGCAATATATTGCATGAAGTATTTTTAAACAAAAAACTACTTATAATCGAGGTAATGCTTGATTTATAGAGCAAATACACAGCAAAATCACTATGCTTGATTAAGCTTTAATAACAACTTTTATTCATGATTAAAAATAAAAATGTGAATAATATTTGGCACAAATGAAAAAAGGAAATATCCGAAGATTTCCGAGTGTTACGAAGTTTTCCGAATGCAAGTCAAAATACCGGTTTTCGATCAGCGTATCGCAATACGTATCGTTTTCATGTCTGAACCGGTAAACCGGTTATATTGCGCAGCCCTACTTCCAAGTGAAAGGAAACACATGTACATCTTTATTATACCCCCGCTACGAAGTAACGGGGGTATATAGCGTTCATTCTGTCCGTCGGTCCATCCGTCCGTCCCGAAACTTTGTCCGGAGCATATCACTTAAAGTTTACATGCTAGGTTCACCAAACTTCACACACATGTTAATCATTACCCATTGATGTGCCTTTTGCTATTATAATTTTTTTTTCTTCAGAATTTTGTTTTTTTGCTGTTTCCATGGAAACACGACTTAGTGCCAAATGTGTTCGGTAAACCGGTTATATTGCGCAGCCCTACTTCCAAGTGAAAGGAAACACATGTACATCTTTATTATACCCCCGCTACGACGTAACGGGGGTATATAGCGTTCATTCTGTCCGTCGGTCCATCCGTCCGTCCCGAAACTTTGTCCGGAGCATATCTCTTAAAGTTGACATGCTAGGTTCACCAAACTTCACACACATGTTAATCTTTACCCATTGATGTGCCTTTTGCTATTTTAAAGTTTTTCAGAATTTGTTTTGTTGTTGTTTCCATGGAAACATGACTTGGTGCAAAATGTGTTTGATGGTTACCTGGCCACAGCATATCATCGAAACTATACATGCTAGGTTCACCAAACTTAATACACAAGTTAATCATGACCCACAGATATGCCATCTGCTAAAAAATAACCATCTTCACCATGTCCACTTCATTGTGTGCAACAAGTTCAATTGTATGTCAGGTTTCCACGGAAAACACAAAAAAGTAATGTTTTCATAAATTATTACTGTAATCAGTACATGGCAAAACAATTATCCAACATGTATATAAAGTTTAGTAGAGTCAAGGAGAAAGTCTTGTGAGCTGCTGATCCTTGTCACATTATATATATCAATATCAGTCATTTCCATGTCCCAAAGTGGGAAGCGGGGATATGTGAGCTGTAGTACTTAAGTGCATGACTGACAGAACTTATTGTCCTCCTGTAAACATACCTTCCAAGTGAAAGGAAACACATGTACATCTTTATATTTATGATTGTATTACTTAAGTAAGACCGACAGAACTTAAACTGTCTTCTTGTAAACATACCCTCCAAGTGAGAGAAAATACATGTACATTTTTATATATGAATGCGTATTTATGTGCATGTTTAAACAAAATTAGAATACCTATCTGTAAACTATACTTTCCAATTGAGACTAAAATTATGTATACTTTCATACATAAAACTGTAGTAGCTATGTGCATGATGGCCGGAACTAAGAATGCCAATCTGTAAATCCACCCATCTTTTTCAGTTGAGGGGAAAAACTTGTACATCTATCTATCTATATATGTATGTGCATATGTATGTATGTATATGTGTGTATATGAGAGTATATGCATATTACTGTATTATATGTGTTGTAGAGTGGGAATAAAAAATGGAAAAAAATAAAAAATAAATAAATTTAATTTTTTAATGATGTTATATCCATTCTGGATGGGTATGTAAGTATTCAAGTTTGTTTTGCGGATTTAAAACTTCTAAGTTATTTGTGTTATGCTATTTGTGAGAGTTTATAAGACATTGGTATGTTGTTTGGTCATACCTTTCAGAGAATATTTCTTCTGAAATACTCGAGAAATATACAGTTCATGTACACATTCATGACATTGTAAAAAGAGTGATGATCTGTAAAAAATGGTAGGGTATATTCAGTAATACACCATCACACACAATACATGCTGATAATGCTGAGTTAAAAGGTCCACTTAAAGGGGCACTGATCCAGAGCAGTTTCCGTGGACTGGTTGTTGCTTTTGTTATTGTTTTTCTCCCTTGAGTACCTGGATGATATCCCAGAATTCTTGACTCGTTTGTGACCTCTGCTGCGCCACCCACAAAAGCAATTGATAGTATAAGTATAGATTGATCAACAAAGAGGAAATCTTTTTTACTTGTTAATATTTCCATCTTCATTATTTTGATAGCAAATGAAATCATTTTGAAGTTTAACCATCTGC